CTGGCCCGCCTTCACTTAGGGCGGGCACGAGGCTTGTTGGGGCCTTAGCCCAGAACATGTACATCATGGCAAGGCCCCTTCTTGAGGGTTCAATCCTCACATTCCATCCCCGTTAGCTTCGAAAGTCCGCTGAGATGCTTACTTCGCAGGTGCCTTCCCTTTTAACATTCTCTCATAATCTGCCACCACTTGAGTAGCTGTGTCAATCAGTTCCTCTCTGGTGAACCACCGATCTTCCTTCGGATCCATATGATGCCTGAATCGGACGCGATACTCCCGCTTGGGTTTTGGAGGTCTTCCTCTACCCAGTGGCTTTGGAACAGGCAGATCTCTGTGATCCACRATGTCGTCAATGTCCACTTGACCATCCATGGTTGGGGGCAACATTGATCTCCTTGAAGGGAATTGATCTGTCTCAGCGAAAGGTGCAAGCTTTGAGGCATGAAAGGCAGGGTGAGTGCGCAGATGACCAGGGATACAGATAACGTAGGTAGGACCATCCATCTCATCCCCAACTATATCCAGGACTTCCCATGGACCAAAATACTGAGGCATTAGTTTGCGAGAGATTCCAAATTCCTGTCCTAGCTCACTAGCCTTGACCCAGACACGTTCCCCTACCTGAAATGAGGACTGCCAACGGTGTTTGTTCTCAGAAGCAATCATTGCTTGCTGAGATTTCCTGATGTGCTCGACAGCTTGCTGCAACAACTTCTCATATTGCACACCATACTCAAGTGTACCCGGAGTTGCAGAGGATCGGTTTTCAGGTAGGAGGAAGTCTAGAGCTGATCTAGGCTTCCATCCCAAGTGCAGCTGATTAGGACTRGCGTCGGTACTGCTGTGTACAGCGTTGTTGTACAGGCTGGCGATGAGAGGCAACTTCTCATCCCAGTCATCCTGGCTGGGCTTGATGTAATGCCTCAGCAAGTGTTGTACAACTCGGTTCATTTGTTCGGCTTGTCCATTGGCTTCGGGATGATTCCCTGAAGTCATTTGAAGTTGACTGCCCATGTGCTCAGCAGTCTTCTTCCACAGCTCACTTGTGAATCGGACATCTCTGTCACTAACGATTGACTTTGGTAGTCCAAAGTCACGCACCCAGTTATCCATAAACAACTTGATGACGTGGTCAGTCCTTGCTGTCTCTGGCATGGCAATTAGTCTAGCGTATTTGGTGAATCGATCGATGATGACGAAGATGTGCCTCTTGCCACTCCTACTGGTCACCAGGGTATCCATGAAGTCCATGAAACACTTTGGCCTGGACCAGCGGGGATAGGTAAGGGCTTCAGCAACCCAAGCGGTGCTTGAGTTAGCGGCTTGTCCCGCTGACAGACCTGACAGGTCTCTACGTACTTCTTTGCGTCATCTAGCATTCCAGGCTACCAAAATCGCTGTACTAGATTGGCACTTGTCTTTTTGTAGCCGAAGTGTCCAGTTGCGTCATGACATTCCCCTAGAAATAAACTACGCAAACTCTCACTCGATGGAACTACTAACCTTTTACACCCGGCCTTATCAAGAAAGAGTAACCCATCCACCATCACAAACTCATTCTCTGTGGCCTTGTCTTTTGCYTGAAGTTTGCRRATGATGTCCATCATGACAGGRTCTTCCTGATAGGCTCCCACCAACGATTGAGTTACTTCCTGAGATACACCAAACTCAGAAACTAGCGCCCCTAGGTAGTCTGCTCTACGGGACAGCGCATCTRCAACCTTGTTGTACTCTCCCTTCAKATACTYTAGCTTGAAGTCRTACTGRTCTATGACCTCAATCCATCRCTTGAGTGCATCAGAGAGAGCCGGTYGAGTCTTGATCCATTTGAGGGTCTGATGGTCAGTTCTCAAGTAGAAAAACCGTCCCAACAGGAARTGCCTCCAATGRACAAGKGCTTTGTAAAGAGCATAGAGTTCCCTTTCGTAGGTGGACTTTGCCAGTTTCTTTGATGGCATTTTCTTGCTCATGTACTCAATCGGTCTCAACTTCTTCCCATCCTGTTGAGCCAGCACTGCGCCAATGCCGTATTGGCTTGCGTCAGTGGTTACAATGAAAGGCTTCTGAGGATCGGGCACCATGAGAACCTCATGATTCATGAGTGCATGCTTTAATCGTTTGAAAGCAGCCTCGCACTCATCACTCCAGTCCCACGGCGTGTCAAGTCCAGTTAGATCTGTCAAAGGAGAGGCGACTGTGGAATAATTTTTCACAAAGTTCCTATAATTGCCGCACATTCCTAAGAAAGATCTGACCTCAGTAACTGTCTGAGGTCGTGGCCAGTCCCTTATACTAGCCACCTTCGCATCTTCCGGCCTAATCCCTTCCGCGGATACTTCATGACCCAAGTATAAGATCTTAGTGCGTCCGAACTCACATTTCTCTAAGTTGACCTTATACTTGTGCTGTCGCAAGAGTGAAAATCCAGTCTCAATATGCTTTGCATGCTCTTCGACAGACTTACTAAAGATAAGAATGTCGTCCAAGTAGACAACGACAAACTTATCTAAGTGGTCATGAAAGATCCTATTCATAGCGTGCTGGAATGTACCCGGCGCGTTACAAAGGCCAAAAGGCATTACAACAAACTCATAAAGACCATATCTGGTCTGAAATGCAGTCTTGTGTTGATCCTCAGGTCTTATTGCGATCTGATGGTAGCCGAATTTTAAATTTATCTTGCTATAGTACTTGCATCCCTGCACCCTATCCAATAGGTCGTCTATGCGAGGTAGAGGCTCTGCGTTCTTCACTGTGATGGCATTGAGGCCTCTATAATCAATGCACATCCTCAATGTACCCCCCTTCTTTGGCACAAATAGTACTAGCGATCCGAAGGGGGAAGTACTCGGCCGGATCCATCCCTTCTCTGTCAGCTCTTTCAGTTGTCGCCGAAGTTCATCCAACTCGGCCGGAGCCATCCTATAGATCCTTCCCTTTGGGGTTTTACTCCCTGGAATGATTTCTATGGCATGGACAATATCCCTCTCTACGACTCATGTAGGCTCAGCGAACAGATCAGGGAACTTAGCAACGACGTGTTCTATCTCTGGGGGTGTTTTAACGACCGCCCCTTTCTCAGAGACATACACTAGGTACATACCCTCCTCTTGGTTTTGTTTGTAATAATTATAGAACGCTGATGCACACAACCAGCCATAGGTATCTATTATGCTACTGGCTTTGAACTTAGTCAATCTGACTGTTTTGCCATCAGGCAACTTATGTTTTAGCACCTTCTTGTCCCAGTCAAACTGGGGCTTTGCAACCTGAAGGTAGTACATGCCTAACAACATGTCGAATGGCAAGTCGTCGCTAACCAGGAACGAAATCTTATGATCAAGTTCCCCTCCTCCATAGGAGAAGGCTCAGACTACATCCTTAGTCTGTGACAATCATGCGCTCCTTATTGGCCAAAGTAGATGCTACGGGTCAACTAAGGTGCTGTACCCGGTCCTGTAGGCGCAACCTTTCCAAACAGTCGGGACTTATATAGTTCCGCGTGGAGCCGATGTCTATGAAGGCACCACATTTGCGGCCTCCTACATCAACTTCCACTACGAAATGTTCCCCTCTAGGACCTTTCCTTAGTGCCACCCAAGATTCGCGAGGGTCCTTGTTTGACCACTCACTTTCCAAATCTTCTAAGGCTTCAGACACATCCAACGTACAGAGCATAGTTTGGTCTAGATGAGTCTGCAGGGTGACTAAAGAGTCATTAGCTATGGCCATCTCATGAAGTGGGGAGGGTATCTGGCCCACTTCACCATGAGTAGAAGCAGCTAAAACTTCCACCGGCCTCACGTGTTTCCCGAGCTAGAAGCCTGGAAAGAAGGTGCCCCCATCTTAGGAGGTATCTTCTGCGTTACCTTTGCGTTCTTGCACTTGTATTGGGTGTGTCCATATTCACCACAGTTAATGCAAGCACCACGCAGTCTTCGGTCCCGCCACACTTCCTGATCAAGACCTGCCTTGACCCAATCAACAACTTTGGTCTGATTGGAGGTGGCATGCCCTTGACTCTTTTGATGGCCCTTCCCTCGGCCACCTGCCTTAGTCTTAACTACTGCGGCGAGGGTGCTACCCTCAGCGATCTCCTCGCCGTCGTACTCTGAAACGTCCAACAGGTTGGTGAGCTCGTCGATCTCTATTTGAGTCCCTTCGGACAACCATCATCAATTTAGCCCCCTTCTTCTTCCATTCCCGTGGACTTTTCTTCTTCTTCGCGTCTACTGAAGAAGGTTGAGCACTTCCTAAAGTGGCATCTAAATCTAAGGCTTTTCTAGACAAGGTCTCAAATGAGTGATACTCAAGGCGGGCCTCGCTGGCCAGCAGATTTCTTAGATTCTCTGGGAGACATCTCACAAACGTGGTCAACAAGAATTGGTCATCGTAGTTTATACCGGGGACAACGATGAGTCTCTCTACGGTAGTCGTAAGCTCCCTGACTGACTTGAACTTTCTTTGGTCTAGTCTGTTTATCGCATCAGTGGCAATTTGTGCCCGTTGTGGATTGTGCCAATGAGCTTCTACCATTTCCAAGAACTGGTCTAACGTAATGGTCTTAGCCCAGTCCGCCATGCGTCGTCCGTACCCGGCCTTTGAAACTAAACCATTCAGCCATTTGGCTGCCTTACCCTCCAGGTAAGATGCAACAGTAATCACCTCCTCCTCCTGCAAAGTCCTCTTCGCCTTTACCCATACCGGAACCGTTCTCAACCATGTGTTGAGTTCCTCATCCTTCTTCTCTCCTGAGAAGGCAAGAGGCGGTTTCATAAGGGTCTTAGGGTACCATTGACCTTGAGACTGTCCCTGTTGAGGAACAGGTTGTTGCGGTGGTTGTGTAGCTATCACCGCTGGACCCGAAGAAGAAGAAGCAACAGTCTGTGCGGCTGCTGCAGACGTACCACTTGGTTGTGTGCCAGCTTGTACAGGGAAGGGGCCTGACATCGCCGTTAACGACAACGACGATTGTGCTGCTGGTCTAAATTCGGGCCTTTGCAAAAGGTCCAAGATTTGGTCCAGAGAGTTCTGCATGAAGTCCATTCTGCTGTCTACATGTGCATGCAGTGACAGCATGCTGTTCTTCAACACTTTGAATTGGTCAGACATTGCTGACTCATCCAAAGCCTCCAATGCAGCCTTGTTTGCCTCTAACGTATCAAGCCTGGCTGCTCTATTTTTGATCTCTCTTTCTTTATCAGTTGCCTGCTTCAGTTCCCTCTCTAACCGCTCGCGGATCCTTTCCACTTGTTGGAGCTCTAAGAGCTCCCTACCGTGTGGGGTCAACGGG